AGGGGGAGGCGGAAGGCTCCCAGGCTGCCTCCTGTGGGCTCAGTACGGGCTCCCCCCCCTCCGATGCCCCCAGCTCCAGCTCCTCTGGCTGCCCATCACCTGCTCCCCACTCCTCCTCCGACCCAGATGATTCTCCCCCGAAGCTGCTCCCCGAGACCCTCAGCCCAGCCGTCCCCGACTGGCGTGAGTCGGAGGTCCTCGACCTCTCGATCCCACCCGAGTCGGCTGCCACCAGCAAGCGCTCTCCCTCGGGAGGGTGCAGCGGGGGGCAGACGCCCTCCTTGTCACTCTCCTCTTCTGACCCGGAGCAGGAGGCTGGCGACTGGCGTCCGGAGATGTCCCCTTGCTCTAACGTGGTGGTCACGGATGTCACCAGCAACCTCCTCACCGTAACCATCAAGGAGTTCTGCAACGCAGAGGATTTTGAGAAGGTGGCGGCAGGCAGTGGCGGAGGGGGCAGCAAGTGAGCAGCCCGGTCCCCCCTGCTCCAGGGGCGTGGGGGGAGCTCTACCTGCCAGAAGTCGTGATGCGAATGGCTGTCCTTAGTTCTCTCCTTCTCCCCTTGGCTGTCTCTGTGCCCTCACTGCCACCCTTCCTCCTCCTTTCCTCCCGCCCACTTCCTCTTGCCCGGGGGCTGGAGCGTGTCAGTGGGGGTGTGGGAGCACCCACTGCTCCTGGGTGCCCGTGCTGCTGGGAGGAGGCAGGGAGGGTTGTGGTGGGGCTTCGGAGTGGTTGTTTGTCCTTGAATGTGGTGTTGTCCAATGGGCAGTGGAGCCTTTGGGGCTCAGGGATAGGTGAACACGTGTCTGTGTGCCTGTGGGGGTGGTAGGGAAGGTGCTGCTCTTCCTCCTTCCCCTTCCATCTTTGACAAAAACTGAAGAGGAGCTCCAGACCCTTGAGGAGAGGATGTAAGAGGATTGGAGCCCTTGCCCATGTCCTCCAAACCTTCTCCCACAATGTGCATGCAGTTTCTTCCATTCCTATGTTTCCCCCTTGTTATGACTACGATCCTGCCATTCTTCCCCCTCTTGGCCAGTGGCCTGGATCTGCCCTCTCCTTTACTGTCCTCCTGGCAGTTGCTGATTCAGGTGCCCTGAGAGTGAGGGGGAGAGGGGCAGGTGAAGTGTCATGCCCAGAAGGTGCTTGAGGCAAAGCTGGGGTGGTGGGGGGTGCCCCATGCAGCATATGCCCCATATTGGCTTCCCCTTTCCTTCACTATTGGTGCTACCTTGGCAGTTGTATGGGTGCTTTCAGGTGCCCTGGTCCCACCTCTTCTCCTGCATCTTCCAACTTGCTCAGCTCTGCAGGAGAAAGGGAAGAAAAGAGGAGTCTGCTTCTGGCCCAGATCTTCCTCCTGATGTTCATCACTTGCACTTGCTCAGGGGAGAGGGCATGAAATGCCCTTCCTTGGCCTTTCTGTGGTGGAAGCAGGCAGGAGTGAGCTGTGCATCCATCCTTCAGTCCGGGGGAAGATACGCCAAGAGCGTGACGCTGCCCCAGCCGGGCGAGGCTGGTCTCCCGCCTTGTGCTTAGGCTTCCCCCGACCCTGTTTGCTTCCTCTTGCTTCCCTCCAAAGGAGGGATGGGTGGATGCTAAGGCAGGTCATTTGCTCTTCCTGCTTTCTTTTGCCACTCCTGCTCTCATCTCCCTGGGGTGGATGGCCTGGAAGAGGTTTCTCCTCTGTCTTTTCAGCATCTGAAACAGCCCTTACAACTGTCAACCAAAGGTGCTCGTAAAAAATACCTGTCTCTCTCACATCATATGCATGTGCACTGGATCTCTTCCCCCAAAGCTCCTGTGAGCTGATCTAGAAATTCCTTCTCTTCACCCCTAGCAAGCAGGAGGGAGCAAGACCACAACTTGCTGTTCTTTACCCACAGCTCCCTCTTTGCCTGACCACTCTAGTTCACATCCAAATAAGCTCTTTTTCTGCTTGCCGTTTCTGGCTTTGCCCCGTTTCTCTGTGAGTCCTAAGCTTCATGGGTAGATACCATTCCTTTGCTCTCCCTTTTTCCTCTACTCGTATGGGACTCAGCCTGTAGGGGCAAGGAAAAGAGGTGCTGATCAATCAGTGGGAGAGCCTCACCCTCAGCCCTGTCCCTGGATGGGGCACAGGGGTGTCACTTCTACATAACATGCTGCAGAGGTGAAAAGGGTGGGAAAAAATTCCCTGTGCCAGGGCTCAGTTACTTACAAACCTGCCCTGGGACGGTGAACACAAGTGGAATTGGCCCCTCTGGTGCTTTCACACAAGGATGCTCAGGAGCTGCTGTCTTCAAGCAGTGCTCTCATGTGGAATAGTGATTTTGTGGTTGCAGTGATCTGAGGGTAAAAGGGAGGCAGTCTGTGGGAGGGAGGTAATATTTGTCTGCCCGAGGGACATTGTCAGGGTGGTAGAGGGATAGACCAGCTTCTGACCTTAATTAGGGCTTTTGTGCCCAGAGTTTGTCTATTCCCTGCCTCCAGTGCCTGGGTTAGTATAATGAAAGCTTTGCTGCCCTCCCCACAAACCTTGCCTCGCAGTGGGTGGCATTCCAAGCTGTGAGACACAGTCGATTCACACCACTTGCGGTTGGGTGTCTGTGCAGACAGTCCGAGGGGGATTCCAGGTGCTGTTAGCACCACCCTTTGTGCACCTCTTTCTTTTTCTTTCCTTGGTTAAAGAGCTTAGTGGACAGTTTGGGGATGTGCTTGCATTCACAGCTGAAGCTAGGGGCAGGGAGAAAGAGACTTCCCTGATCCATTCACCAAGCTAAGGCTTCCTATAACTTGTTGGACTTGTGTGCGTGTCTGTATTACTACTACCTGCTTGTATTTTTTGTGTTTGTTTCTTTTCTTTTTTTTTTTTTTTGCATCTTTCCTGTGCCTGGCACATCCAGGGAATCCCATATTTTAGCATAGCCTACCCATTTGACTGCAGCTTCAAAGGTGAATTGTTTGTAGGCATAGGGAAAAACTCTTTCTTAGGAAAATAGTGAGGAGATTCTTCTCTTTTTCCTCCCGCTTCTGAACAGGAACTAATCTGTGGCTGTGAGATAAGAGGAGCTGCTTTGTGGGGTGGATGCAAACTGGCCAGTCACTTTAGGTTGTTGAGTTACTGTTTGGTGTGTATGTGGTGATGTGTTTTGTTTCGTGGTATTGAGGTTCTGAAAAAAAATATTGAAGCGTTTAAGTGGGAGATAAAAGGGAACTTTAATAGGAAACTCTTGATGTGTTTTGGCCAAGATATGTTGCTGGCAGAATTCTTTTCCCCAGTGTCTCTTGTATGGTGTTCTTTGGGGGCAAGGGGCAGGAATTGTGTAATTGAAGGGGTTTTGCCTTTCTCCAGAGTGACAAGCAAGGGAACTGTCTGTGAAGAGCAAAACAGTGGGTCATTGTAGGGATGCTCCGCAAGGACCTTCTTCCTGTGGTGAGGAGATGAGGGGGCTTGTTGCAGCAAAGGAACTCGTCCAGTAGATCCTCTTTGTGGAGGAAGAAAGGAGTATGATCCGGCTTGCAGACACGGCTCACCTGCTTGTGTGACAGATCCCTCCCTGGGTGGGTCACCAGGTGGGAACCAAACCCTGAACCTCTGGATCCGAAATGAGGATCCTGTGCTGTTTTGAGTTAGAGGTTTGCTAACTTGAACTCAGCAGCAGCCTCAAGTTCCCTCGGGTGGACAAGCCACTTGAGGCTGACTAACCTACCTTCGTATTCACGTGGGTTACACTTCTCCTTCCAGATTTTTGCCCTTGCTCCTTAACGGAGATGGGAAAGAAGATTCATCCATGTCTTTTAAAAAGGGCATGGGATTGAGGGAGGAGTTTATTTGAAAGTATCCCCTTCCCTTCCCCAATAACCCATAGGAAAAAAACCAACAAAAACAGGGAAATACTCTCTGTGTCTGTGCCATGTTTGTTCTTGTCGTCGTGTTTTTAGAGGAGATTTTATGATGGAGTGGAAAAAGTGAAATGATTAGTTTTGCATAAAAAAAAAGAAAAGTTTTTTAAAAAAATTTCTACAGGGAGTGAGCGAGAGAGAGTTTAAAAATGAATAATAAATGCAGTGATTGCACAAACTGTAGTGGTATTAGCTGGTCCTTAGAGAAAAGAGTATTTTGTAGTATCGAAGCATGTGTGTCTGGGATGGTGTTTGGCTTGCTTGAACTGGAGGGAAAGGCGTTCTGGGACTAAGCGGCGATCTCCGAGCTGAAGAGGCAAGTTGCATGTTGGAGGAACCCTGTCTGCAAACCTTTCCCATCCTTGCCTCCCAAGTGTTGGAGTGAGTTTCCTTCCCTCCCATTCCTCTCCTGTGAGCTAAGGTGAAGTCTCCAAGTGGTTTTCTGGCTGAGTGACCCTCAGAAGTGGCTGGTCACGTTCTGCCAGAATGTGGATCGGGCCACCAACATGGAAACAGTTGACTTACTTTGCATGCACAGCAAGCTGCTAAGATTTGGGGTCGGCATGTACCTTTCCTGCCAAGTCGCTGTCTCTTCTCTTTTCTGTCCCCTATATCCAAGCAGAATTAATCATGGTGGGCTTATTTCCTGGGAAGCAGATATGCCTCCCCTCTGTAGGGTCTCTTAGCTTCTTCCAGCATCAGGTGAGAAGTGGCGTTTTTCCAAATAGGATTCACCACATCAGGACAAAGAACTGAATCCCATTGATACGAAGTCCAGCATCCCTTCTCCGACAACGGCTGGATCTTCAGAGACAGATGAAAGAGCTGCCTTGTGTGCTCTGAAGGTGTTGCCAAGTGAGGTGTGCCCTCTTCCCAAGGCCAACAAATGCTGGAGGTGTTTGGGGTGGGGAGGTGAGAGGAACACCCTGGCAAGACTGTGCTCAAGCAGGACAGCTCCAGCTTCCTGCAGGGTGATGGGGAAGAGTTGCCTGAACATTCCTTCAGAGTGAGGAGGCAACTCTTGCGTGCTGACTTCCCCATCCAAGGTGTCTCTGCTGGGTCTTCATCTGGTGCATGGGAGTGACTGCAGGGAAGAGGGAAGTACCAGATGTTGGTGTCTGAACAGAAGGTGGCAGGCAGGGACACTAGGACAGCTTTCCTTGTCTGGACTTCTCTGGTGCCCTTGGCTTTGCAGTGGCGGGTGACAGATGTCTTAATGCCTCCCATAGCCTGGGCTGCTCTTGGGAACTTCTCCTCTCTCTGTCCATCGAGTTCTGTCAGTGCTTCCCACAGCTTTCAACTTGGAGCAGCAGCCTCCTGTCTTGTGCCCTCTTCTTGCTGAGCAGAGTAGGACTGGGGAGGTGGGAAACTAATGAGATGCAAGCTCCTTTTGGGATAGAAAACAGAAATAGCGTGAGCAGGCCCAGCTGTGGTGAGCCACTGCTTAATTTCTGTTTTCCAAAGAGAAAGGGAGCATTTCTCTGCGTCTCCCCTTACCGAGGTTCCCCAGGAGATTTTATGAACTAAACAAAAAAACAAAACCCAAACCACACACAATATCCTGCTTTTTACCAGGTAGGAGCTGTCT